ATTAGTCCTTCCACACTGACACAATAGCTCTTTAATGACTGAAGAGGCAGTTTGCGAGAAGGCATGTTATCAGACACATTGACTTATAAAAGCCCACACAGCTCAACTCTGCAGCTCTCCATTATTGTGCTATTTGCATCAGCAAGTATGATATGCATACTCCCATAGGCACAMGTGGATTCATTCTGCTGTCAGGGCTGAGTACAGACTTCTTTGTTTACCCACTTATAAACAGACACGCACACACTACCCGCTATACAGAATTATAAAAATATATGCTCTTTTACTTGACAAGTGAATATACAGGTCCATCATGGCAGATTCTCTGTGCACATCTTATTAGGACTACTTCTTTGTTCTTTTTTTTTTTTTCATTTTAGGGTTTGGATTACACTCCTGCAAAGATGCTGCCTAAAGGCGGGTTTAATGTTTATAAGATTTTGTTTTTGCATATTCAAAGGAGAATGCAAAAACTTCTAAAAACGTATATTTTTAGGAAATAATGCATTATTCTCAGGAGTCAYGTCATGTTGGTTTCATGGTGTTCTTTGTTCCTTTAAATTTAAGAGACTTTTCCCTGAGACATAGTCCTTATTTTACAGTCGTCGAAAGATTTATCTGTTCACATTTGTCATCATAAAGACTGTCAGTAGATCCTGCGGGGGGACGTCTCTCGAGCTTTTTCAAGTTTATTCATCTTATTTCCTTACAGAAGTTTGACTTTAAATCAACACAGACATTTGGTTTCATTTCACCATGCTGTATTTAAAGAAAGATTAGTATAAAAAAGTCCTCCAGCTGCCACTGTCTTTGAAATGTTGGGTTGTTTATATGATTTGTGGTGAAAGGTAAGGTCAAGGGTCACTGTGGCGACTGTGGGCTTAACATTATGGGATAGGAGGTGGGTTCACCTTGGTCAAAGCAGCCTTTCAAGTGAGCAGAGCTGGACCTTAAATCAAAAACGAAACTTATTATGTGAATTAGGTTAAAGAGCACAAAGAGCAAGTTTATTTCTGAGTTGTCTGTATCAGAAGCAAACAACATGTATGGAAAATTAAGTTAAGGGTGTGATTGTGTGCTCATTTGGAGAACACACTACAGAATACAAATGCAGTTGTTTTTAATGCTGGTCCTTTTGTTCCTCCACACCAACTGTTGTGTGTATTAATGTGCAGGGTCTAAACGAGATGAAGGCCACCATGCTGCAGCCATTCATCTCCTCACCCTCCTGTTAAAGTTTCTGCAGCAGCAGCAGCCTCCACTGTGTCGCGGCCCTGATGTCATGTCTCTTCTCTAACAAACTCCGTTGTCTGTAGGCAGACCATCATCCACACRAACACCCTTTTATCTGCACAAACTTTAATTTCTAAAAGGCTCGAACCACATTTGAAACCTCATTATATAACATTACTCACTGGCACAGAGATGTATACAAAGCCTGTTTTGTATTAGAATACCACTCAGAGTCATTAGTAGATTTTTTTTTTTGTGCGGGCCTTTGGATGAATGGGGCTTGGTAATGGAGCAGTGGGAGAACTGACAAAAGCAACCATCCTCCACTGTCCCACCGTCACAGCTAAGCTCAGACTTCAATGTTAAAACATACAATGTGAACTGGAGCACCATTTAGTAACTGAGTGTGTGCGTTTGTGTCTCCAGTGTATGTGTAGAGATGGATGACATGACTGGAATACAGTGTGGAGTCAGAGGTTGGTTCAGGAAAACTGAGTATCGACTGAGGTGGACACGTATGAGTTTAGACACACATTTGTTTTTTCCATCAGTCTTCAAAACCTAAATCTAAAAGCCTTAAAAGCTCTGTTTTCCTTTTACTTTGGTCATAGTGCCATCTATGAAGTAAACAAATGGATTTTTTGTGCTTGACTTTGAGGTGACTAAATGGATGATTGATGACCCCTTTGCACAGCTTCTACTTTTCATTCTTTCTCACTGTTTTTCCATTCTATTCATTTTTTTTCTTGGCTTGTGCCAGTCAGGTCAAGAATTAAGCAACCACTTGGTTTACAAAACCCTGGAAATGTTCAGACAAGCCTTGTCTGCTTGGTAAGACAAATCAGATTTCTTTYTTCTAGCCACCAGGGACCCTTGTGTTTTCAGTGAGAAAGTCTGACAGAGAGCCAGCTGGGGCTGCAATAGAAAGCATTCACACAGAATTTCAGAATCATAAAAGCATAACCAATGGTGGGCAGATGTGTCAAAAGGGTTCTTTAAAAAAAAAGGCAGGCCAGACATGATGCTGACCTCAGGGCTCGGAGAAGTTTGAGGAAGAAATGCACAGGGAAAAGGATAAAACCTGTGTGTGAGCATGCATACACAAAATATGCAGGGGGTTGTAGTGGCCAGACAGGCCGAAGGGGCAAAGGCTGCTCCCCTGATGCGTGTCTTTCAATGTGCCAAGGCTGGGGGGGATGAAATCTGAGGGGTGTGAAATGGTCCCTTCTTCACGTGACCCAGGCCTCTGATAGGTCAACCTGCTGTTGCCTTGTTTTAAAGTTTCTGATTTCTGTAGCAAAGGACTTGGACTGATTTTAGTTTTGTGTCCACCCTACTGTACATTTTTACCATGAAGCCTAGGCTTGACGATACAATGAAGTACTGACTGAATATAATCAGCACATTTTTTTTGTAAGGACGCGTAATATGTATTACTGAGAATTTGAGACTGGTGATTGCGGAGCAAAACCCAGGAAAGAGTTTTCACTTCCTACTAAAGAAGATTGAAATCAGCTAAATTGTGAAATCTTAGACCTCTAAAAATAGAAGCTGTGATGATTTTCCATGGCAAACCCTGATYGCTTACATTGACAAAACATGTTCAAGGCTGCGTGAAACACTGATAAGTTAAGAGGAAGATAAGTTTGTGTATTTGACATGTTAGTGAATTCAAAATGCTACATAACATTTTTAGAACCACTTTAAGAAAAATAAATGCTGATTTATTTAACAACCTCTCAGCAATGTAATATCTTTGTCATTCATTAAATTTATTTATTAATTAGTTTGTTCATCTGTCGTCCACCTGCAGCCTACTTGATAGTCAGTATTGCCATAGAAAGGACTGCAGAGGTCCTCGACACACTGGCTGAGCAGGTTTCTGTGAATAACAAAGTCCTGTTGGACACGATGACATCTATGTTTTGTGCTAAGAGATAACAGATGGACGGCATTGGCAGAGAAATGTCAGAGCAGATGCAAATACAGAACCTGTTTGTGTTTGCAGCTATTCTGACCGCTCCGCTTCAGAGGAATGTTATCTTACTGAGTAATGATGACGAAAGTGATTTTCTTAGTATTTCCCTTTTTTTCATTGGAAACAAAACTGTTTAGAGAAATTTTCAGATTCCAGTTTTCATTTAGAAATTTGTCATTTTTTTCTATCAAATGGCAGCGGGTTTCCTTTTTTTTTTGAAGTGGCCATAGTAATTGTCTGACCCTAACCTACAAGTTAATGTGACCCTGATGTGTCTACAATGACGTTTAAGAAGAAAAAACCCTAGAAGACTGCAGCCACTCGTATTTACTCATTAACCAGCCCCTAACATGTTGCCTAACATACCTGAAACAATGTTCACTGAACAATTGTCAAGGAGACCCTGTTTAAACTGACAAACATTATTGTACAAATATCAGCATTAACAGAGGGGCAGTAAGGCACAGCTTTATTGGTTAAAACCTAACCTGGTGTGTCAGAGCTCCAAGGAGATGGAGAAGATCACAACAGTATTGCCATGGAGAACAAGCTTAGCTTTTTTTCTGTGTTTTGCCACAGCTAGGTTCTCCTCCTTTATTAGTATGACCGTGTCCAGGCTTGGCAAACAGTACATGTGCTGAAACTGCTCCTAGTAAACATTTAAATGGTACTTTATGACCAAAGTTTTCCTGATGGCTACTGATGTAAAGTTTTCTGACAGTCCAACAGCGAGCAGAGAAAAGAACCCATTCATTGAAGTTAATGTCTATTCCCTTTATCTTTAATCACAAATGAAGGAGTAGCTGGTTTTGGATACTTCAGAGTAGACAAACCATCATGAAAGCATTTGTAACGATGTGAAATTGGTTCTTTCTTTTTTGTCGACTCGTTTTTTTTAGTCTGTCCTTGAAAAAAAAACACACCCTTTGTTATTTAAATCCATCGTACAGGAACATCTTGTACAGTGTTACTCACTATACATGTGTGGTTTGTTTTAATCTTCCTCTGTGTGTTATATTGTTCAACCTCTTTTGGTTTAACAATGGCTGAAACAAACTGAGGGAGGCTCTAATGTGACTAAAGCTGTAGTCAGAGTATCACAAGAGCTACCAAGAAGAATTTGAGAAAATATTGAAATGAATACAACCTGTTTGGCAAGTACTTTGTTGCCCCATCATTCCAGCTCTTTTGTCTTCTCATCTTTCCTGCTGCCCTGAAGCTGTTGTTCTTTTTGACTTTTACCATTTACAGTGAYCTGGACTCCGACTGAATTACAGTCTATTTTAAGAAAACAATTACTGCAAATAATCCCTATGAAATCTGAAGCTGCTGACTTCCAGATGTATTAACGTGGCAACGAACTGCCAAAGTTAGACTGTTCAAACAATGGATATGAATATGAGTATGTATTTAATGACGTCTTATAATTGAAGCTATTATTGGGATTTTTTAAATTCCACCTGTATTTATGAGCAGGTCTGTTCTATCACACAGTTTCATGAATTGTAGGCATTTAAATGAGATAAATTTGGTAATTTGAAGAAGTGCGTTGTGCCCCAAACACCACACTAAAAAAGGGGGTAATTTTCCATGATTATTGCTTCTTGGTCCAGCACCCATTCCAGAGGATTTTTGGTCATGCAAGGTCATTGTTTTTCATTTTTCTCACACAAGTCCTAGCCTTCGCTCCCATTTTTGGACTGTCCTAAACAAAAGTAAATTATATGTTCAGGGATTTTGTCAAAGCTGTGTCTAACGTTCTATGGATTTCTTTCGTTTTGCTCCTCAGATCCAGAATGCTGAGAAGAGAATGAATCCTCCAGGTCATCTGAGACATCCATATGTCGTCGCTGCTGTCCCTTGCCGACAGTCTTTAGGTCCCACAGGGACTCTGTCTGCCATCCCGAGCTCCACCCCTCATCCCTGTCCAGGTCCCTCCCGTCTCCTCCGCCCTGAGTAGTGGCCATCCTAGAGTGGAGGAAAGGCGAGTCAGCCCCTGTAAATATGCCTGGATGGAGATCTCAGTGGCGTCTCATCCTGCTGAACTCCCTGACCTGTGGCCTGGAGATCTGCGTGGCAGCTGGGATCACATACGTGCCCCCACTGCTGCTGGAGGCTGGAGTAGAGGAGCGCTACATGACGATGGTGCTAGGTAAGGGCGTGTTAAAAACTGAATGAGAATGAATGAAATGTGCACAAGATATTAACACATCTGCTCATGTCTCTTTTATCCATTTAACACATAATGAAGGTCCTTACAGAAATAATTGACCTAATCATCTGTTGTTCTCTTGCTGTGGTAATTCAGCACAATTTGAAAGGCAGCAGGATGATGAATCGTCAGAGAGGGCTCAACTTATAGACACAAAATGTAGAGGCACAGACGTGTTTCATCAGTTTTAATCATCAACAGCAGTGCAACCTAAAACCAGAGACGGTCTTAATAAAAACGTGACCCCAGCAGAGTCTTGGAGTATTGTTTGAAAAGATTATTAAATTTAAAATGTAAGCAGGTGACAATGGGTGATAATGAATTTTCCTGTTTACTTTTCTAATTACAGCCAGAGGCTCACAGCTGCAGTGAACTCGGATGTTTTTGCAACCGATGAAGCCCGTGCCCCTGTCCTTTCTCTGCTGGAAGGGGATTGAGCTGTGCTGTTTTTAAATTCTTGGGTTTGTCCACATCGCTGCCTGTTCACAGTTACGAGCAACACAACAGGAAAATGCAGTATACTAAACCCGCTGACTCAGTTTTTTTTTTGCAAAAGTAAACAACCCTTTTCCTCGAAGTGCAAAAAGTCACCATGTACCTCCAAAAACAATGTCATGTCCTTGAAACATTTAAGCTTTTGCTTTTTTGTGCTTTTCATTGTTCTTCCAGAAGAAAATGCTGGTTACCCCTGTCCAAAAAAGAAACATAAAAACCTCTACTATGATAAGATGTAATTCATTTTTTTCTGTGATAGAAGGTGATAAAATTTCATATTTTGTTTAAACTAAACGTTACAACCTCCACACACTTCTTTTACATTTCTAACCTACTGCTGATGAGAGGATATGGAGATTTTATTAAAAATTCCATCCAACATTTTAAGCGCTGTGTGATCATCTAAATCTACTTCTTGTCTTAATATACTGACGTGTTTAAATAAATGAATACTGTACCCTGAGAGGCTTAAAACTAATTTCCCTGTGCCGTAGTATCGAGTTTACAAAAGGCTGCTCTCTGCTGTATGTGAGACCCATTTGTTTGGGTAAATTATTCTCTGTTGTTACTTTGTTTCTTGGACAGGTTTGCAGATAATTGCTACAGTTAGATAGGATTGTGTTTTGTGTTGTCTGCTTACAGTAACATATGAACAGATTTGTGCATGTATGTGAACACGGGTTTGAAAGCAGAAAAAAAGTGCAGAGATGAGTGTTTGTGTGCGTTGTGTTTCAGGAAGCAGAGGGGTGAGTATTACAGACTGAAAGTCCTAAAGCTGGTGTTATGAACGGCCTGAACAGCTGCAGCAGGAAGTAATGTGTGGCAGCAGCTGACTGCCAGGCTTTAGTCACTTTCTCTGCCTTTCTCCGTTTACCTGCTGTCCTCTGCCTCAGTGAACAGACTTGTGAATTACATTTCCATTTAGTAGTTTTGTGAAAAATTGCCAAACAAAATGCAAAATGTGTCTTTTAAAAGGTTGCATATCCTTACCACTGGTTCGGTTTTACCTTGAGCAACTCTAGGAAACAACGTTTTTATGAGCAGGACTGATTTGAGCATGTGCACAACAGGCGATATGAGCTTTATATTATATTTTTCACCAACTTCCTTTCTGGCTATGCTGAAAACTCCTCGGGGTAGCTTTTATAGTTAAAAACCTAGTCCAAGGATTAGATTGCTTTTGAATTTTGTATGTGCCTGTATGCAAGCAACCACTGCACCATGGTGATTTCTAATTAGCCAGAGCCAGCCACGTGTGGAGAATGAGCTGCCGACTTTCAGGATGCATACCATCTGCAGGAGCAGGCAGTGATGATGACAGAGACGTCAAACTATCGGCAATATGGAGAAAGAGAAGTCTAAACAAAATGTGCAATATGTCTGTAGTCAATGCAATATTTTTTTAAAAGCTGGTTTTAGCTGGCTCTGTATGTACCTAAACTGAAGATTAAAACAGACTGATTTGATCATATAATTGATTAGATTATTCTCTTACTATGAGCAAACTTTTAATCCCAGCTGCCATTCTTAGACAAACCTGAAAGTCAGTGACAGCTGCTGGAACAGGTCACCTCCTCAAACACCCTCGTTTTGGCCAGAAATGGATACCTCGGAGAAAAAGGATACTGTTGTGATTTTCAGACAATAAATTTTGTGAGAACCCTGCAGCTTTGCAAGGTTGTTTAAAAAGATGTGAAATGTTAGTTTTAAAAAGCAGAAATGGTGTGTTATGGCTGGGCGACGTGCCCCCCCCCCCCCCAAATCTCCGATTTTTTTTTTATCCCAAATTCGATCTTCGATTTTAATCGATTTTGTTTCCCACTTTGTTGCTGTTATTGTTGCTCCAAGTCCGAGGTTGCAAAACCTAACCAGCTTCAGATAACTGAAGAAACAGTGCCGTTTTTGGGAAGTAGATCCTAATTGCTAGCTGCCATATTGTCATGTCGTGTACCAAGCGTCTTGAGGGACAGGTGGGGTGACCTCTGATCTACAGAAGCCCCAAAGAGTGCACTGGTGGGAAAAAAATCCAGATTTTTCCCAAAATAAAATCTTTATAAATGGCAAATTCAAATTAATCATTTAAATCGATTTATCGCCCAACCCTAGCCTGTATTTATTTATTTTTTTACATGCGTTATGTTTTCTAAATTTGCACACACTGTGCCTTTTACATCTACCTTTGTTTCCTCTCTGCCACCTACAYGAGCTGCCCTGTTTGGAGAAGTTTTGACCTTTGTGTTTTCCTGGTTGTGAACTCAGGTATCGGTCCGGTTCTTGGCCTCCTTTTCATCCCCCTGATTGGCTCGGCCAGCGACCAGTGCAACAGCAGTTACGGTAGGCGGCGGCCCTTCATCTGGCTGTTGTCTCTGGGAGTTCTTCTGGCGCTCTTCATCATTCCCCATGCTGACCTGCTGGCAGCCCGTYTTGCCTGGGGAGGGCACACCCTCCAGGTAGGAAAGCATGATTTCACTYAAATAAGCTAAGAATTTGAAAAATATAATACTAAAGACTGGAATGTTTCCTGTATTTTATATCGAGTTAGTAGATAATAAAGCCTAATTTCAGTTTTGTTGTATTTTTGTATTTTCTTCTCTCAGGTGGGAGTTCTTATCTTTGGTGTTGGGCTCCTTGACTTCTGTGGACAGGTCTGCTTCACGCCGCTGGAGGCTCTTCTGTCGGACTTGTACCGGGACGAGGAGGAGTGTGGCCAGGCCTTTGCTATGTTCTCCTTCATGGTCAGCCTGGGAGGCTGCGTAGGTTATTTACTACCTGCCCTGGACTGGAGTCGTGGTCTGCTTTCTGTTTACCTAGGAGGCCAGGCCGAGTGCCTTTTTTCCCTCCTCATCGTCATCTTTGTCTCCAGCGTGCTCATTACCATGAAGATGTCCGAGGAGCCCTCATGTTCCAGCAGCAGCTCGGCGGGATCCGGATCTTTACTAGAGTCTGGGCCGGGCGTGATGGAAGCCAGCCGCTGCGGCGTTCCCCGCTCCTGCTGCTACCTGCTCAAATGCAAACTGAGGCTGCTGAAGGCCGGACCTTTCCTCTGTTTACTGAGAACATGCTGGGCCATGACCCCGGCCATCTTCAGGAGCTACTGCCACGTCCCGCGGGTGATGAGACAGCTGTGCGTGGCCCAGCTCTGCAGCTGGATGGCTGTCATGTCGTTTATGCTTTTTTACACWGACTTTGTGGGGGAAGGCCTGTATGAAGGAGTACCTAGTGCATTACCAGGAAGCATGTCCAGACAAAGATACGATGAAGGTCAGATTTTCTCCTCATCTGCAATTCTAAAGATTGCGTTTCTATGAGTGGTTGTGTTTTTCTTAGTCTTTTTTAATAGATGGATTAGGATTATACCAACTTTGCTGTAGCTTTGTTCAAAATGGGGCATTGCCAAAACAATATTCCTAAAAGCAAATCTTTATTCTTATCATGTGTGTAAGAATAAATGAACTGTATTTTGTCAAAGCAGTGCAGAAAGCAGGCGAGTTCTTTTGGCATAAGAGAGACAAAGTATGTTCCTAAATGAGTAATTTGTTTTGATGCTGTTGACGTTTTATTTTTAAAGTATAGTCCATACTAACAAAGGCAGCTGCGACTTGAATTAAGGACACATCTGTTGAGCAGGAGAACATCCTGTGTTTTAATAACGCAAAGCAACAAACTCGCCTCAAAATTTCAAGGATTACTTTTCATTCGTGTGCTTTAAAAAGCTGTAAACACATGCAGAATCATCATCTTCTCTTCTTTATAGTGGCTTTCATACCCTGTTACTGTCCCCTCTTTCTGTTTGTCCACCTCTGTCTGTCTTTCCACGTTGGACTGCGAGGAATGTCGCACTCACAAAGAATCAATGTCAGTGAATCGGCACACAAAGAACATGTTCATTCAAGTCAGGTAGTCGGCCAAAACCCACATGTTTGAGGTCATTCTGAGTTTTGTTTAATTTGAAACACAGCAGATGTTAATAAATCACTGCAGATGTTTTTTCTTGTTTGTTTGTTTAATACAATAACTTTTTTTTTTTAAAGTAATCTTTTCAGCTGCTCGTTTTGGCTCAGCCCTCACATCTTCAGGCTCAGATTTTGGTTCTCATTAGTGTCAGCTGTGTTTAGAAAGCAGGGCTCCACAGCTTTGCTTTTTGGGAGTAATATGAGCCACTTCTTTTCTTCTGGATGGGTTAGTCTGCCCTGCTGTTGAACTTCTGACCCAAACTGTTCACAGAGAACAAACTCAGATTAGAAATGWAACGGCCCCACAGTGGATTCAGGTCATCGAGTTCAATTAAAATGTGACATTTATTTATTAGCTAAATGTTACATAGGAATAAACCAGGGATTTAAAATGTTTATGGTTTGAAATGATGATACTTTTGCMCAGAAGTTGAAAATGAACTTGGCTTTTGATTATTCTCTGAATATTTTATTCACCCACTAAAAGACCGTTGTCTGCTCAACGTTTTTTTTAATGCAAAGTTAGACRTGTTGCTCCACAAGAGCAAATCCTTCTCGTACTGATTGTTAAATTGTATTTTGGAAACAAAATAAAAACTCGGACAGGATGCAGGAGACACGCAAGGAAGCAAATGTATAATTTAATTTTGCRAAGGAATTTGCAACTCTTCCTCTGTTGTTTGGACTTTACATTCCACCTTAAGTCAGTTTTTCAGGCCYCTTCAGATGCTTGTTGTCTGGGATCGCTAACTGGGCCAGACTCAGGCCAGAAGGCAGATCCCATCAGTAAACAAGGCCTGGTCTGTGTGCTTCACCCTGTCGAGGATTTATCTGAGGTTAATGGTGTGTGTTATTGTCCACGTCGCTCAACCTGAACTGTATCACAGTTTCAGATCTCCGTAAATGTTACCATAATGGATACGTTTCTGCCTGTTTATGAAGTTGACCAAACAAAAGGCTTTCTGCTTCATCAGTATAGGTTTACATTTAGATGTTTTATGCAGTATATTTTGTAACGATCCTTCTTTTCTCAGGTATCCGTATGGGCAGCCTTGGCCTATTTCTCCAGTGTGCTACCTCAACTTTCTTCTCTCTGATCATGAGTCGTCTGGTTCACCGTTTCGGGTCGCGGTGGGTCTACCTGAGCAGCATGGTGAGCTTCACGGCCTCGGCGTTGGTCATCTGCCTGTCCAAAAGTGTGGCCTTGGTCACAGCGATGGCAGCTCTCACCGGCTACGCTTATGCAACTCTGCAGACCCTGCCTTACACGCTCACCTGCCATTACCACAAGGAAAAAGAGGTAAAAGGACACATAATGTTTCACGGAGTTCATGTGGATAAATACTTAATTAAACTTGTTTTATGTCATGTTTCAGGTCTACATGCCAAAAAAGAAAACCAAAAGCCTACATCAAAATGGCAAAACAGCCAAACAAGAATCAGTTTATTTGACTCCGTTGCAGGAGGAGGAGGGCGTCATAAACCACAACACCAATCCCTACATGCACCCCTTCCTCAGCCAAGACGCTTATGAAAACGGCTCGTCTCACCGCTCCAGTAGCGCCGAGCAGGAGGGGGCCGAGCTCGGCTACGAGAGGCGTGGTGTGGGCTTGGACTTCGCCATCTTAGACAGCACGTTTCTCCTCTCTCAGGTTTTCCCCACCCTCTTCATGGGTATGATTGTTCAGTTTGCACAGTCTGTTACCGCCTACATCGCCTGCTCCGCCATCTTCGGAGCCRTTGCCATCTACTTAGCTGGTCACATCGTCTTTGACCAAAAGGACCTCAGGAGCTAAAACTTTTTTTTTGTAAAAGGGAGCGATGGAATCACTCGGGACTCAACAGTGCACTAGCTTTCCCAGAATGCCTCGTGTTAATGCCATCTGCAGGTTATATGAAAAGTGGTTAATGAAATGAAAAAGTCTCCTGAGCAGGAAAAAGGTTCAGTTTTTATCTTAAAGCAGAAATCGTTAGCCCSAGTGTGGCATGCTGTGCTAAAAGCTGTTATTGTTTATTTATTTCTAAAAAACATTGAGTTGTGACAATTTCTGTCCATTTTTTTTCCTCAGGTACCATCAAGGATATTTACTGTACATCTCGGCAGCTTCAAACACTGAGCTGCTGAAGTGTTAAACTATCTCATTCTGAGATTTTAAATAGTCTGTGTAAAAAAAAAAAAAATCACATTTATTCACAAGTTTATCAGAAACATCTAAAATTGAGAGGGAACAGGTGTGAAAAAGTATTTCTTTTGGTACACCTCAGTATCATCTCATTAACCTGCCATTTTTTTCATACATCCAGTTTTTAAATCTGGTTAAATTTACAACTTGAGGCTTTAAATGAACTCGATGACACTTCTAGAATTATTTGATCAAGGCGTCATGCGACTATTCCTGCTCTCTAAGTGCTCTCTGTGATGAGTAAACTGATTTTATTTGTAAACAAAAAGGCTGCTTCAGTTTATAAACTGAGCTGTACTCTTAGCCCTGTTAACCGGAGTCACCTCTCGGACAGATTTACTGAAAATATTTTGTACACAAACTGACTATTGATCCCTATGGGAGTTAAGTTATGCAACCTGCTGAGGTGCAGTTATTAACTGTGGTAGTTGGAAGTAAGAAGCTGTCTAAATGATCCGAGACTAAACCAGTCTGTATCTGCTCAGAATGTTTGTCTACACAYGTCTCCAGTCTGGGCGGTCGTCTCGGGTCAAAACCGTCCCGAACTTGTTTTGATGTTGCTGAGAAATCGTGCTCCCTGTTGCCTAAACCGCTGCGTTTCACTGTATATTCAAACGACAATCTAGGACATCCAGATGGGCCCGTTACGTAATGCTGGTGGTAAACGTGTACGGCGCTGTCTCATGGATACCCACTTCATAGCAACCATTCCTGAGAAGACCAAGAAAAGGTCCTGCAGTACRTGGAAACATTTGGTTTAATGCAAGTGTGAGCACTGCATATTGATGGGCTGAAGTTCAGTGTGTGTGTGCATATATCTTTAACGTGGAGGATGAATGTGAGAAAGCATTAGTAATATTTTAAGTGTGAGTTGTTTTTTTTCCCCACATACTGCAGCCCAAACACAATATTATAGGATCTCGTTTCAAATCGACCACATGATATAAAAACCACAAGTGTCGCATTCAGAAAGAATTAGATCCTTTACGGGGTGTTAAAAATGTCTTCTGCAGATACAAATAGTCCTGACAGATCTTATTGCAGCCGTGCAGAGGGATGTTGACATTACTGCCTAGCAGAGTGCGCAAACACTCAATTAGTCTTTTTGCTACTGAAATGAAACAGGAGAAACAGTCAGTGGCTACAGTGTCAGGAGAAAATCAAAGGTTGTTACAAGTGCCTGTACATTTGTCAAACAGATTTTGTACATATGTATTTATTTATRATGGATTTATTACTAAATAGTGTGATTTAAACTTCAGCATCTCCTGTGGGTGCAAAGGTGAAGGTTGTTTCTGTGAAAAGAAAAAMCAACTTTTATATAAATATGGTGTAAAGCATCTTCAAAGCTATAATTTATTTCCACTATTTTATCCTGATGCTCTGTTACACCACAGAGCATTTTCTATTTTATCAAATAAGTTTTACGGTAAAAACATAATAAATGTTAAGTGCTACAAGTTTTATTCTCAGTGCAATAACTGAGTTCTGATACGTTTTCATCCGTTTTTATTCCACTGATGCAAAGAAAGTTGTTTTTAAACGTGGGATTTTTTATTTTAACCACAGGTCTGTTATGTATTTTAATTGWTCAACACGTCTTTAACTGGTGGGTTTTACTTTCCTAAAAACAAATCTCATTTGATTAAAATAAAAAGTGCCAACTGTCAGACTGTATGAAGGCCAGAAATGATATTTTTGATATGAATTTCTTCTTTAATTACAATACTTCAGTTRCTTTTGTTGCTGTCTTAAATGCTTTTGGTTGTGGCCAAAAAAAAAAAAAGGGAAAATGTGTGTCCGCTTTATCAAATGTGTTTATGCAGTAACCAAATAGATTTCTATACAAAACAAAAGAACTGCATTGTCAATGAGTTATTTTTTTTTTGTTTTTGATATTTTCAGTGTCAGGAAGACTGAGCCAAACCAAAATGAACTTATAAATGGTTAATTTCTATACATAAAAATTTGGGGCAAAATTTGTGAATGGCTGCCAACTACCCYACGGAAAACATGTCAACATGGGTGGCGTCCATTGAAGAGCCGTTTGGGATGGAGAAGTCTCACAACTTCGATATTAGTATTTATTCATGCTCAGATTTGACAAGCAGTGTGTAGAAGCAAGTTTTTAAACGTTTACACTGAAACAGAATTCATCGATGATGTTCTGCTGAGGGCTCAGGCCTCCCTTGCTTAATAAATTTCAGGATAACCTTTTTTATAGTTTGCAATAAATACCTTTAAGAGGTTTCTGCAGTTGGTTAAATATTTGATTTTATTWAAAAAAAGTTTATTTTATCTGAATTGCATTTTGGTTCATGCTGTTCTGTTTGGTGATGTTTTGATTTGACCACTTCTCAGTGTAGTTCAGTCTACAATGTTTTCGCTATTGATTCACAAAATGGAAGCCAATTAAATGATAAATGTGTAAATTATATCACAATAAAATATTTATATCTGTTTGGATGACGATACGTTTCTCTATCTCAAAGTCTGATCCATTCACAAGTCTGCAATTGACATCRACCTATGTCTGGTTTATGATGATGATGGATCGATGCTTTCATTTTGCCTTGATGCAACTGAATCATTTTGTATTGTTACCACCCCTAATGAGAACACAAACTGCAAAACCCTGCCACTGTTACACAGTTACACACCCCTCCCCCCCAAATATGGTAAAATGTGCAATTAGGAATGTTAACTTATCACAAAAAGTAAGGAAATGTGTTTGGTAGATTATTTCTTTGTTGGAGCCATGCTTCTTAGGGATAAACCTTATAGCAGTCCCCTGATTGGCAGCATGGAGGTACCAGAAACTCAAAACAGGAGTCGAGATCAACAGCAAAATAAGTTTGGCAAATTCTCAGCTCTAATGCTCATCCTACTAACGCATGTTCCTTACAAATGTGGCACCGTTTAAGAGAAATAAAAGGGATTTATAAAGGTATAAGGCACTATTACAACAAGGAAATAATCTGAGGAAATTTGTGTATTATGATTATTTGGTTGCATCTCAAGACCCCCGCTTTGCATTGTGTGACCCACAGAAGGTCCCTGACCCCAACTTTGAGAACCAATACAAACTCTAGAACTGTGGCTCCACTTGACGGGGTTTCAGTGTGAAAATGGTGCCATCCTTTGGAAATCTCAGGAAAGTGGAGTGTGTGAGAGAGAATGTGTGAAGCCCTGGTGCGTAACTGCGTGACCCCCCCATGCCCCGCCCCCCGACGCACAGACCCTTATCTGTTACATGGAAAAGACATCTGTTCAGGTGGCAGAGGGCTGGCATGCTGAAAATGTGTCCCGTTTTATGGCGGGGCTCTCCAGATCTCCATAGTTCCCACGAATGCACCACAGGAGGAGGGGGGCGTTTCTGAAAACATGTCATAATTAAAACCTGAGCTGAGGTGGGGGTGTGGGGTGCTCTGTAGCACTGTAAACCTGGGGGGTCTTGCTCAAGGACACCTCAGGGATTTTGACTCCTGATCTTTATCACCTGACAGGTTCTAGAAGAACCTTTTTTTGCTGGGAAAAGTTCGCTGCAGAAGAAGTGGGACCACAAGAGTCCTGTCATTGCTCTCCGGTGACAAGTGGGCCTGTTTTTACACCTTCCTTCTAAATAAGGAAGCAGCCTGACAGACATATGACCACCGAGCCAATTTGGGAGCAGAGTGGACCCCCTCACCACCACCACCCCTCCATCCCATCCGGTGACAGCACTCCGTTCCGCCTCGAGCCTACCTGCTGGGATGTCACCTGGGATGTCATAGCCTCGGCGAGGTGGAGTCAGGGGGGGTTCGGTTCGAATTTATTCCGAACCATCATCAAGAGAGAGGCTGTCAGAGGCAAGAGAGAGAGAGGAAGTGTGTGTGTGAGGGAGAGAGAGGGGCGCGGAGGAGCTGCAAAACATGGTAATCACCACCACCAACATCACCATCACCTCCAGCTCCGCCGCGCACTCTCCCGTCTCCTCTCCTCCTCCTCCTCCTCGCCGGGGCTGGCGCTTTATGCCCGGAGCTCTGATCTGCTCACCAAAAATAACCCGCAGCCAGCATGCCGAAGGAAGCAAAACAAGAGGAGCGGTATTTTTAGGGTCATTAATTTCGACCACGTGGCCCGGAGGTAAACCGGATGGCCGTTGCGCAAAGGCTCCCCGTCAGTATGTCCTGCGAGGCCGGCGCGCCGCGCTGGACGCTGACCGCGGTGCTTCTCCTGCTGGGCTTTCTGCTGGGGGTCGCGTCGGCGTACCCGCTACCGAGCGGCAGGACGAACGCGACTCTGCTGGAGAGGCGATGGGAGACCCTCTTCTCCCGCTCCGTGCTGGGGGTCTCCGGGGAGAAACCGGAGCTGAACTGGGAGAGCGACTATCTGCTGGGCATCAAAAGAGTGCGGAGGCTCTACTGCAACGTGGGCATCGGGTTTCACCTTCAGATCCTCCCCGACGGCAGGATAAACGGTGTACATAATGAGAACCAGTACAGTGAGTTATTCACCTCCCGTGTAATGCAGTTGGACTTAAAGGGAGAGAGAGAGAGAGGCAGGGGCCAGGAGCAGGTGATGGGTCTGCGCTGCGCACCTCTGATTCATTTGCATGACCAGATCTCATCCCACTCTGGGAGAATTGGATTTCTTCTATTAAAAACAAGTATCCATCACCGAACACCCCCTCCCTCTCTCCCCCTCTTGCTCTCCTTCCTCCTCCTCCTCCTCCGAGCTCAACCATGTCATGAATGTATGGACGCTTTTAGCCACAACTTATTTTTACGCGGCGCTCTGAGGGCRGTCCGGAGAGCAGCAGCCACTTTAATGCACATCAGTTCAATTAGGCGCATTATTGCTTTAATTGGATGATGCATAAGTGGGGGGTGAAGGATGCATAACAAAGGCAAAAATAAAAATAATAATAATAAAAAAAAGCATGCTGCGCAGCAACCTGCAAGGTTCCACCCAAAGGGAGAGGGAGGAGAGAGGATGCTCTGCATGATCTCCACTCTAACGTGACCGTTCTCTGTCCTGCATCAGGTCTGATAGAGATCTCCACGGTGGAGAGAGGAGTGGTGAGCCTGTTCGGGGTGAGGAGCGAGCTGTTTGTCGCAATGAACAGCCGCGGGAGGTTATACGGAACGGTAGGTATGCACAGCATTTCGTTTATTGCCCAGCTATGTTGGTTAATTAGATCCTGGCATCAAAACTCCCCCCCCACCCCCCACTTCTTCTCATTTTTCTTTTATTTAGCTGCTGTCATGTTTTGGAATGGGGTGGCACAGGGGAGCCTCAAATGTTGCAAAGTCCATAAATTTTATTTTAATTCCACCAGGAATTTATAAAGCTCTATTTAAAGCAGGTGTGTGTGTGTGTGTGTGTGTGTGTGTGTGTGTGTGTGTGTGTGTGTGTGTGTGTGTGTGTGTGTGTGT